CTCTCTCTCTCTCTCTCTCTCTCTCTCTCTCTCTCTCTCTCTCTCTCGTGTGTGTGTGTATGTGTGTGCGTGTGTGTGGGTGCGTGCGTGCGTGCGTGTGTGGGTGTGTGCGTGCGTGTGTGTGTATGTATGTGTGTGTATGTGTGTATATGTGTCTTTTTCCTATGTTTGTCTATGTTTTCCTTTCTTTAAGTAATAAATGTCTAGCTTTATGTATAGCCTTATGTCTATTTACTCTGTCGTCCACCGTATCCAGCCGTTTGACTCTGCCGCTCGCCCAGGGACCCTGACTCCCCCTGCCGCATGGCGCTGCCACTTGCAGCTGCTCCGCGAGCTGCCTGGAACATCCGCTCATGGTATTTTTAAAAGAACAATAATGACTGTGAATGTTCTGCGTGTCTCCTGTGGATATGCACACCCATTTCTACTGGGCATGCACTTGGGGTGGAATTCCTAGCTTGTGGACTATGTAATACTGTATCCAGAAAGTGCTGATTAATTACTTTCTGTAGCAGGTTTCTTTGGGAGCTCCAACCAGCTCCTAAATCATGACATGGAGACTTATTAGTTATGAATGCTCGACCTTAGTTTATGTTTGTACCACTTGCTCTTTTTATTTATTTTACATACTAACCACAGTTCTTCTTCTTCCTCTCCTTCTGTTCCCTTCCACCACCTCCCTTCTAGCCCCCCCCCCCACACTCCTCCTCTGTCTCTATTCAGAAGGGGTAAGACTTCTCATGGGAGTCAACAAAGCGAGACATATCAAGTTGAGAAAGGGTCAAGCTCCCCCCCTTTGCACCAATGTAGTGATGAGCCAAACAGGCCCACTTTTCGTCCCGCCTGGCTTCTACATGGCTAGCTTTACACCCGAAATAACAACACACAAATTGTATTCATTTAAACACTGCCTGACCCGTTATCTGCAGCCTCTTATGGGCTAATTCTCACATCTTGATTAACCCATTTCTAATAATCTGCGTAGCACTATGAGGTGGTGGCTTACAGATTCAGCATGTCTGACCTGGCGGCTGGTTCCATGGCGTCTGCCTGACTCTGCTTCTTTCTCCCAGCATCCTGTTCTGTCTACTCCGCCTATCTAAGCTGCTGTCCTATCAAAAGCCAAGGCAGTTTCTTTAATAATTAACCAATGAAAGCAACACATAGGAAGAAGACCCACCTACATCACACCAAGGCTGGGAAAAGCATCTCACCATAGGGAATAGGTTCCAAAGAGTGAGCTCATGCATTAGGGACAGTTCCTGGGCCCCCTGATAGGGACCCCACAAAAGATTAAGACCCACAACTGCCATCTAGATGCAGAGGGCCTAGCTCGGTCCCATGCCAGCCTGTTAGTTCTTATAACTTATTTTAACTTGTTTCTTTTCATCTACATTTTTGCCTTGGGGCCTTTCCTTTCGTGCTGTATGTCCTACTTTTGCTATTTCCTCCATGTCTGTCTGTCTGGTGGTTGCCTGACTGGCAGGCCCTGGGTGTCCCCCTGATTCTCTTTTCCCTCCTTGAGCCTAGATTCCTCCTCCTACCTATTCTCTGTTCCTGTCAGCCCCACCTATCCCTTCATTACCTAGCTATGGGCTGTTCAGCTTTTTCTTAGACCAATCAGGTGCCTTAGTCAGGCAAAGCAACATATCTTTACATTGTTAAACAAATGCATCATAAACAAATGTAACACACCTTTGATAGTTCAATATTCTGCACCAACTTTCTGATATGACTGAGTTGGAGTTCCACTAGGAGCCTTGTTGCTCTCCCACTCTCAGCAGGCACAGAGCTCATTTACATTTTAGTCATTTGGATGAATTATGAGATCCTAGCTTTTTTATATTGTACAATTTATTAATTTTTGGAGATAGGCTCTTTCTTTATATCTCTGGCCGTCCTGGAACTCACTCTGTAAACAAGGCTGGCCTTGAACTCATAGAGATCTGCCTGTCTTTGTCTCCCAAGTTCTGGGATTAAATTTGTGATCCACTATACCTAAAAGACTTTTCATATTTAAGTGGTATTTTAGATCACTTTTAAAATATGAAATATTTGTTTAGATCTCTGTTTTTCTCATGCTTTTTTTTTGTAGTTCTTTCAAACTCTGGACATTAATATTTTGGACATATATGTGAAATGTCTTTCTTTACTCTGTCTTCTCTTCTTGGTCATTGGTAGTGCCTTCTTATAAATTGCCCTTTCAGATTTTTGTATAGAACAATTCATCTGTCTTTCTGTTTATGACTATGGATTTTTACAACCCTTTCATAAACTTTCTATACTCCAAGGTGATGAGGGTACTCTCAGCTTGTCTATAGATATCTATAATGTCTCTATAGCTAGTTTTCATGTGTATCTTAAGTGAACATGCTTATTTACATTTAGTGCATAGAATTTGCACCACAGTTTCATATAGAAACAGGTTGTGGGGATTGTCAGAACTTGGGCAACAGCAAAATGTTTTTGAATGTGTGCAGACTCCAAATCAATACAAATAAAATAAACATGTAATGAATATAGAACATTTCTGGCAGTGCTTGCCTGTGTTGCATTTTGTAGCCTTGGTAGTGAACATACAACTCTTGTATTTTACATTGTGTATGCTACCAAATTCCACCCAGAACCAATAAGCTCTTCCTGGACCTTAAAAACCAGACTGTTATATATTATAAACTGCAGTTTTTTTTAACTGTGTATAAGTTATTGTTCTTTTTAAAATACCATGAGCGGATGTCCCAGGCAGCTCGCGGAGCAGCTGCAAGTGGCAGTGCCATGCAGCGGGGGGAGTCAGGGTCCCCGGGCGAGCGGCAGAGTCAAACGGCTGGATACGGTGGACGACAGAGTAAATAGATATAAGGCTATACATAAAGCTAGACATTTATTACTTAAAGAAAGGAAAACATAGACAAACATAGGAAAAAGACACATATACACACATACACACACACATACACACACGCGCACGCACGCACCCACCCACCCACACACATACACACATACACGAGAGAAAGAGAGAGAGAGAGAGAGAGAGAGAGAGAAGATGGCGGCGGGGGGAGGGTCAAAAGTGGCTGGGATGGGCGTGGTTAGTTCTTAAAGTGTCCCAATGGAATAACATTCCCGGATCCTTTTTATAATAAAAAGTAGAAGGTTAGACATTACAGGTTGAAGGAATTGGGGCGGCGAATTTTCAAGACTGCTTCCGGATGATTTGTAGGTGTCGTCTTTGGGGGGCGGTGTGGGGGTGAGGGAGATCTGAGAGAAGCTGGGTGTTGGTCACATCCTGACATAGCTGGTCTCTGTTTCCGACAGGACAGGTGTCTGTGGCATGGAAATGTCTGGTGTCCCTTGGACCTGGTTAGGGTGTTGGCAGAACAGAGGACAAAGTTAAATTGAGGAAAAATTTTTAGGACCAGGGAATTGAGAGGTTTGTATCTGACCTGTTTACAGTGGGTTTTTAAATTTGGCTCCCTGGAACTCATAAGAAAAACAGAAGTTTTAGACATATACATTGTATTAAGAACTCCTTGGGTTTATAAAAAAAGAAATTATAATGAAAAGTATTTTTATTTGGTGAGACAACCTGGCAAAACCTCTCAGCTATCAGACTGTCAGAGATCTTTGAGAAGGATAAGATTTTACTTGAATTACTGATTAAAAAATGACAGAGAACTTACATGGTTGGTACCCAGAGTTACCCTTTGGTCCTCCCTGGTTGATGAAGGTTGCATTTGACCTTTGTTGTTTAATGTAGAGCCTGCCAGGCTTTTGAAGACTCTGTGGACTAAGAAATCTTTAGGAAGACAGGTCTACCTTACCTGCGCAGCTAGACTGTCGATTCCAGTGATCCTGTCCACGTTTGGAGGTCTCCAGTTTAGGTGATAGGCAGTTTTTGCCCAATGGTCAGCGCTTGGCAGTCGAAGCAAACTTCAGATGGACGTTGGTCAGTGACAGTTTGTTTTATGTCTTCTCGGAGGAAACAGAGTGCTTGCTAGGAGCCAACCTGTCTCTTTTGGTTATGAAAAGTTTTTTTTTTAAATAATTAAACAATTAATATCGCATTCCCCAGATC